TGAAAATTGTGGAATGGGACATCTAACAAAAGAAAGGGAATTTCCATTACTTAGCAATTCTGCAATTCTGGCATAAATTTAGACCACGTCTAGCAAGGACATCATTATCATTTATCATTCATTACAAGAACCAAGGATGTGAAATGCAAAACAAGGACATCATTGTCATTACAATAACTTTGTGATTGGAGGAGGGGAAAAAAAGATGAATCAAATTTTATAATTATCCAATCCTGCTGCTCCTTAAAAATAAAATAAAAAACAAAAAGCAAAACAAAACAAAATAATGAAGAAAAAACTAGCCATTGTGGCATTTTATCAAACACCTAGCAAGCCCATAATCAAAAGCATGAGACTTTACTGTGTGTAGAATCACCAACAATTCATTCACTTCAATGATTATATTGGGTAGAATATGAATATCATAATCAGAATACATAACATGCTAATCATTTTATTTTCTATATTTTTTCCACAAATTAAAATCATTCAAGTTGTTCATGGAACCCTTTAAAGTAGAGAAGTTTTGGAGATGTTAGAAGTAATGAATGAAATGACTTTAATCTCATCTTAACAATGAATTCCATTTACGCAAACACGTTCGAAGACAGAGTAAGGGTAGAGAATGAGAAACCCATAGACCTAGAAAGAGAGAGAGGGGTAGAGAAAGAGAAACAGAAACAACAAGCTGACCTGGAACTCACGGTGGTGTTGTAGCTTGATGTTGGTGCAGGATGAACTTACGGTGTGAAGGACGAACCATCCTCACAGTGGAGGATGAACTCACGGTGGTGGATGAACTGTCCTCACGGTGGTTCTCTATTACAGCTTTGTGAAAGAACTATAGATAGATTAGGGCACAAAATTCTAATCAACGAGTTGAAAAGTTATTTGGGGACTAAAATTTTGATATTATTCAATTTAGGCGCTGAATCATAATTTTTTTGGTGCTTTAATTTTGGGTGTACATAAAGATAGAGAAAAATATGAAAAAAAAATAAAAATAAATCATAATTCATAAATTAGGTAGTAATGTGAAAGTATTCCTACCAAAAAATAAATCTGTGTGTTTTATGAAATTTTTTAGTCGCTAAATTTGCAATTTGTTGTAGTGAGAAAGAGATATGAGAGGAAAACTGATAAACACATACACACACACACACAAAAAGAGGAAAAAATTAATAGTCTATTTTTTTTCATTACCACCCAATTTGTCAAAATTTTCCCTCCAAAATTAGTGACAAAATAATTTTCTTACTAAAAGGTCTCAAAATATTAAAAATGATTAGTAACGAAAGTATATTTCTCACCAAATAATCTTAAAATATTTAAAATCAAGTTTTTCAAAAAAAAAAAAAGGTAAAATTAGTGGTGACAAAAATATATCCCTCACTAATAATTTTATAATTAGTGACAAATTTTTTCTTACCAAAAGTCTCAAAATTTTGGCGCCACCAAAAAAAATTAGCGAGAAAACCTTCGATGACGAAACTTAATTTTTCCTCACCTAAAAAGAAGTATTTATTGACGAAAATAAATTTCGTCACCTATTATTTTTATTTTTTTATTATATGTGACAAAATTTTATAATTTGTCACGAATTGTTCTTATCTAGTGAGAAAATTTATTTCCTTCATTACTTTTCGTCAACGTAGATTACTTTTGTTGTAGTGACCGTTGAATCCCTCATCTCTCTCTCTCTCTCTCTCTCTCTCTCTCTCTCTCTCTCTCTCCTTCTCTCTCATTCACTCCGCTAATTTACTTTTTCCTCTATCACCGCTGTCTCCAAAGGCGATCCTGCCACCACCATCGTCGCACACCATTACAGTGACATGACTCACCGATCGCTATCATCTGTTGCACAACACTCCTTCCACCGCAGCACCACCAATCGTCATCCTCATTCGCATCTGTTCTATGGTTTTTTTGAATAGATCTATGATTTTTTTTTGAAAAATCTTGATCAATTTATATATATATATAGATGCAGATCTGATTTTGTTGTTAAGGTATTATTGTTAGGGTTTTATCTGTTCAACATATCTAAATTTTTTTTGTTAACAGATCTGTGGTTTTTTTAAACAGATCTATGATTTTTTTGAAAAATCTTGATCAATTTATATATATATGATCTGATTTATCTGTTGTCGTCTGTCTCTCTACTTTCTCTCTTCTCTCTCCTCTCTACTCTTTATCTTCTTTGTTGATTGTTGTTGTTTTTGTACAGAGATTGTTCGAGGTCGGGGAAACCTGATCCCCGTTAGGGGGCAGGAGTGGAGGGGTGATAGGTTCCCCATCGAGGATCAAGGACAGAGATGAAGAATTTTATAGCTTTGGGGATTAGGGACGGAAAGTGTTTCCTACGACTCAATCATATATGAGTACTACTCAATAAGACCCTATTACTATTGATTCATAAGTAGGATGAAAACAAATTGTAAGCAGAGTCCCAATAACTAGTAAGTAATAAATTAGAAACATCAAATAACATTGGAATAAAACATAGATAAAGACATGGATAAAATCTTGCCTAAAAAATTTATTGAATTTGTAAAAATCAAAATCACCCTCTTTCACTTATCTTTTGTCAAAAACTTACAGAGAAAAACATTATTCATAGTATGTGCAAATGAATTGGGTGGTATTCTATATTTTCTCAATTGACTAATTTATATGTATTCATTTATTGTTATTAATAAATGTTATTCATGTTGTAGTAAGTAAAGGAAAATATTTTTTTGTAGATGTATTCGTTTATAAACTATAGTTCCTAATCATATGCTAGCTCAAGACTAAGGAATTGGTAAGGTACCAACACAAAAAAACCAGACCAACAAACACAAACACAACTCATAACACACCCACCACCAAGCAGCTGCTGCCATCAGCCTATTGTATACTACAATCAAGAACTAAGCAATAAACCTAATCTGTTGAACATTATTGATAATCTCCTGCACTGTGTGCCGGCAATCCTTAGAGTAAGTTTTTACCCAAAGAGCGATACTAATCTTGATTAAATTTGACTTATTACTCAATTAAATACCCTTTACTATTCAATAAAACTACCCTTACTACCAATCCCGCTCGAGCGGCAGATACACACTCCCAGAACTTTTGCAGACAGGTCTCCCGCTCGAGCTTCCAACTCCCCGCTCGAGCAGCACTCACACAATCCCGCTCGAGCGGCCAATCCCACGCTCGAGCGTCGAACACTGCACAGGAAATACTGGATGAGTGAAACTCCCGCTCGAGCGCCAAAACCCCCGCTCGAGCGGACAGGTCAAAATCTGGGCAACTAGTTTTGGTTTCTAATCTAAACCAACCTGTAACAAATCTGCCCAACACATCCTATAACTCAAATACAAAGTAAGAAAGGATGTACACCAGGTAATAATCAACTACTATCATCCACGGACACATGTCCGGATCACTACACAACAAGGGTAAAACTGGGATCGCTATAAAGGAAAATATTTTTTTTGTAGATGTATTCGTTTATAAACTATACTTCCTAATCATATGCTAGCTCAAGACCAAGGAGTTGGTAAGGTACCAACACAAAAAAACCAGACAAACAAACACAAACACAACTCATAACACACCCACCACCAAGCAGTTGCCGCCATCAGCCTATCGCATACTACAATCAAGAACTAAGCAATAAACCTAATCTGTTGAACATTATTGATAATCTCCTGCACTGTGTGCCGGCAATCCTTAGAGTAAGTTTTTACCCAAAGAGCGATACTAATCTTGATTAAATTTGACTTATTACTCAATTAAATACCCTTTACTATTCAATAAAACTACCCTTACTACTTCATAGTAAGTAGCTTTGACTTACTAAATGAAAGTTCACTTATTATTTCATTAGATTTCATTTATTACTTGAATTCCGTTTGTTTCAACATAAAATATTTTACACAAAAAAATATTTTTCTTATAAATTAATTTTACATAGAAAAAATATTTTTCTTTTCATTTTTCAGTATTTGGTTGATACTTGAAACAAAAATATTTTGTTATTTAAAAGAGAAATTTTAATTCGATAGAATGTCATTTATGACTTTTTAGTGAGCTAACTAAGATATTTATTTGAAAAGGATAAATGTGTTAAAAAGATAATAAGTGAGAATCAACTTTGTAAAACTGGTTTATGGAATTTTTAAAGGTCAGTTCTTTATTGAAAAATTATGCAAAAATATTTTACTTGCTTTTTGTTCAACCAAACAATGGAAAATGAGTAAAATATTTTTGATAAAAACGTTTTACGTCAAAACAAATGAAGCCTTAATGAGATTTTACTTACTATTTTATTAGACTTGAGTTACTTCTTAATGTGATTTCACTTACTGTTTCATTAAATTTGATTTACTACTCAATAAGACTCTACTTACTATTGAATATTTTTCTTTAACTAGGTGAAATGTTATTACAACAAAACCTTAAATTTCATAAATGGAAAATGTCACATAATGTTAAAATAAAATAGAGATAGAGACTAAATATGGAGAGAAAATAGTTACATATATAGTCTGTCATTAGTTCTATGTGTTTAAAATTAATTTATAAAAAAATAAAAAAAGAAAAGAAAAGAGCACAACTTTCAAGACAAGAAAGGTGGCCTGACTAATAGGTAATATTGTTGAATTGTATTTTATTTATATTTAAATAGTAAGTTTATTTATAATAAGTAGTAAATGAGTTAATGATAAGTAGCAAGTGTATTTGTAATAAATAGTAAGTTAGATCTATTTTTTCATTTCCAAATTAACTAAAATTACTTTAACTTTTGAAAAACCACTTTAATTTCCTATCTATTTGTGGTCATAACACATGAAATGGTTAGAATTTTATCCTATCCAAATCTAATGGTTCATATGTATTTCCGTACCATACATGAAAACAACTTTCATGTACATAGATTTTTCCCTTCAAACCATCTGAATCTTTTACCTAACATTCATAAACAAATACCAATTCAGGAGTTTAAAAAATAAACAAAAAACAAATACCAATTCATATATCAAATTATCAATTCAAGAGATTAAAAAAGAAATGATGGAGGGTAAATTTTGACTACTGTGCATACAAATAACATGGACAACATCAGAGAACTACACGCCTAATCTATTTATCTTCATAATTTCAACAACCGTGGCCTTATGTATAAATACAACATGAATCCTGCCATCTTCACCTCCTTGCACATTGGCACCCTCCCAGGAATAATGCACACAGCAAACCAAGTACACCAGTGGATGTAGTAAGTCATAGAGAAACCTGGATCACTAATTTTGGACCATGCCCAAAATTGCTGGCAACCACTGAAAAGACCCTCCACAATTTTCAATTTCCCAAGCCTCATGCAAACTTTCATGACAATTTTGATGTGCTGCAGGTTTAAATGTCTTCTCTTCCAAGTTCTTCGAGTAAGGGAAACACCAGCATGTTTGATAGTCTCCTAATCACAATATAAACTTTAAATGCTAGAGCAATATTTTTCACCATGATTCCACTTCAATGAGCTCCCAACAACAGAAGCATCTGTCCAGCCATACTCAATCCACCCTGCAGAAAGCTCAATAACTTTTCCATCGTGAATGCCATATAGGTCTGCTCTGAGACCTCAATAAATAAAGCCAAAACTTGATCATCCAAGAGTCACAGCGGTTGTTTCTGAGCCCAACAGGTCGGCAGTGTCATCTCTGAAGGAACCATGGAACCCAATTCCAGATCGTTAAAGCCAGTACTATATGAATCAATGGCACTTGTTCCATGACTACCTGAAAAGGAGAACTTCCAATATCGTTGGGTAGAAAACCTTGGTTTCTGTAATCTTGCTTGGGGGCATCTAATCAAGGTACACAAATTTTTTTAAGGAGAGTTGAGAAAGCAATTTTTTGGAAAAAATTAATTTCAAAAACAACATCAGTTTTGCTTAATTTAAAACACCTTCTAACCCAAAATGCTAAAAAGAAAGAAATAGAGACAATAAAAAAAATGGAAGGAAAGTCAAAGTACCTGACGCTAACTAGTCATTTAAACATCCCATGCAAATTGAATCACTTCATGGTACTTAACATGGTTTAACATTCACATTAACATTTGGAATGAGTCTGCCACATTTTTTCTACAGCATTAAAATTAATCAATCTGACAGATAATCATTAGCAGCAGTATAAATCTACGATAAAAAAGTGAAACACTGGAGTGAAGTGAAACATTGTTTCATTAGATCTAGAGAAACAACTTTAGACAACCAAACAATCAAAGCAATTCTATGTTTGTTTGCCAAATAACAAGCAAACACTACCCAAATATCAACACCAAGGAAATATCCTACACCATACAATTGAAAACAGATTCACTTGATTCACAGTTCATGTAAAACAACTTTAGACAACCAAACAATCAAAGCAATTCTATGTGTGTTTGCCAAATAACAAGCAAACACTACCCAAAAATCAACACCAAGGAAATATCCTACACCATACAATTGAAAACAGATTCACTTGATTCACAGTTCATGTAACACTGCCCTAGTCCTGAAAGTTTGAAATGTTTAACAAGTGAAACTCAAACAATGTGGACAAGCCTCTAATGTGGAGAAACGAAGCCACATTATGCTCTCCTCCACGTCATCACTTGCATCTGAAAAATAAGATAACTACCCATGAGGTTTTAAGATGACAACCAATGTTAAAACTTATATAAATAAATGGAAAAACAACAAAATTGCATCAATAAGATGTGCAAAGACAATGGCATCTGTTAAAATTTTCACTTCACCTACCACCACTACCACCTCACCTACTCCACTAAACCTAACCCACTACACCACTACCACCTCCACTTCACCTACTCTCCACCTACTCCCAAACACACTCCTATATAATAGGAATCCTTGTAATTGTAATTTTTACACGAATATATGCATCACATTTGCATAAACAATGAAACCCATCTATATATTGAAAATATAAATAAAAATACATAAATACAAACATATTTACATACACATGTGTAGCGTGTGTGCTTGAGAGAGATAGTGATTTAAAGTTATACCAAAAGACAGAAAAGCAAGTGAAATAACAATGCACCTATGTCTGTAAATTTATTATAATTCTGCAGTTTGGTGACAGCATCTGCTACACATAAATTAGTTCTAGAGACGCGGCATGTGACGCGTAAAGGTAAATGTGGCTGAAAGAGTATTAAATGGAAAATTATGCCAAGTCACTGTCAAGTGTTAAGAAAAAATACAAAACATTGAAATGGAAAAAAAAAGGATGCCAAGATAAACTTAAGTAAATTCTCAATAAAGATTCCATCAAGATGATAAAATTGACACTGAACATAGATTGACTACAAGATTTCACTTGGAAATTATGAACATAACGAACCTAAAGATAATTTTTCCTAATATTGTTTGAAAAATTATATTTCCATTTAAATGATAGAGAGGGGAGAGAATACATGAGATTTTTAAGAGGAATCAAAAAGAGAAGAATAAAAAGGGAAAACTAAATACTAATAACAATCACTGGGACACATCATGGATACAAGCAAGCAAGCTATTCAACAGTAGAAACGAAAACCCACAAAGCATCTACAAATAGAAGTATCGCAGAAACTCATCAGGATGATTTGGTGATATATGAAGATTGAAATATACACAAACTCGTATATTGTGTGACTTTCAATATAAGAACTAGCATAATAACAATTAAAGTATGCAATTTTAAACCTTCAAAGAGGTAAAGTATGAAAGATATTGCCGGAATAGCGAAACCGAACGTAGTGCAGATTGCTCTCGCCGCCGGCTGCTGTCACTGATACGTGAACGTGAACCCTTAAATTTTTAGGGCATTTTATATGGAGTCGGTGCAACCCGAACCCCAAACCCCCAGTTCAAAAAATTTCACTTTACACGATGCTTTATAATTTTGTTTAGAAAAATGTATGAGATCTTTTTTCTTTTTTTCTTTTTTTCACCTCTTTTGAACCCGTTCTTTATTGGTTGGATTAAAATGTATGAGATCTTTTTTCTTTTTTTCTTTTTTTCACCTCTTTTGAACCCTTTTTTTATTGGTTGGATTTTTTTTTTTTTTTGTTTCTCATATCCTCCAATCACTACCTATCACATGTGTACAGGGTGGTGAGAGTGGTGATTGGAGAGGGTGTGCATCACTTTACTATTGGAAATATACATGCCCAATATTAAGGATTATTATTAAAAAAATTGAATATAATATAAGAAAATATTGTATAATTTTTGGGGAAATTTATTTTTGAATAACATTTTTTTAAGTGATATCTATTATAATGATATAAGATTGGCATATTAAATATTAGGGTAAATTATAAATACATTCTTGATATTTAATTAAAGTACGAATCGTCCCTTGTAGTTCTAGAAATTACATTTCATCCCCTAAGGTTTCTAATTTCATAATAAATCGTCATTTTTATTAATAAATTATCAAGTTAATTAATAGTTTTTAATGATGTTATAAATATGTTTCAATTAATAATTTAGATAATTTTATTATTATATAGGAGAGCAATAATGAATTTCATTTTTTTATTAATTCTGTTAAATAAAAAATTATGACAATGAAATATTCGTAATTTTTCAAATCATAAAGGGCAATTTGTATTTTAAAAAAATCTCAAGTGATATATTTATAATTTATCCTAAATATTAAATAAAAAATAATAGCAATGTAACCATGATTATGTTGGACAATAATCTTTACTGTATTTAAATTAATTAAATTCTGTTGTGTACTAAACAACAACCAGAATATAAATAAATAAAGGAAATGAGAGAATTTGTTTGATTACAAAAATTAAACTCGAAATAAAAATAAAAGTAAATAAAAACAGATTTTATTTTGTTACAAAAACAAAGTTAAAATCTGATTGAAATAAATAAAAAAAACACTGAAAATAAATTAAATAACTTACTTGATTTAATTTCTTCGAATTATAATCTGATCAAGTCCAGTGTTTGACACTGTGTCCTTAAGACAGATTCGTCCTCTCCACGGTGCTTTCAGAATGTGGACGTCTATCTCCCAGGATAAAATGATCTACTACAAACAATAGCAGCACTACAAATTGTTTGCCTTACGAACACACTAAGTGTTTATACTCTCTCTGACAAGAAAATAATGCAGCAAAATGAAGAGGAAGTTTGCAGAATTATGAAGGACGAAAATTAGAGTTACAAAATCCAAATGAGGGTGGTCCTATTTATAGATGTGAAGGTGACTCTTTGTTTTGAATTGAACAGGTTAAAATCCAAATGGGAGGCTAGTCTATTTATAGATGTAAAGGTGGCTATTGGTTTTGAATTGAACAGGTATGAAACTTGTTGGTTTTGAATTCAAACAGATTTGAATCTGTTGGGTTATATTTCAAACAGATAACAAAGCGGGAAGGGCCCTGTTTAGGTGTGCAATACAGTAAAACCAAACCAGTTTAATTTTGAATTATGGATTTTATTTTACCAAAAAATAAAATTAAATTCAAATGTTTTGGCCAAAAAAGATTAGTATTTGGCCAAATATGCCCAACCTCACACCACGCACCCAAGCCCAGCTCGCTCAACCGGCGGCGCGCGTGGTGATTTTTTGGGTCCAATGGGTCTAACCCATTTTACCTATAACCTCTCCCTCTAAAACACTTGGGTACCCCTTGGGGCACACCCCAAGTACTAAACACAAGCCTTATAAACCCATTTAAAACCTCCCACCAAATTAATGTGAGATAAGCCATTTTACAACCTTAAGGAATTTTCACCAAAACTCCATTTCCTTGGAGCACACTTTGGCTTCAATTTCCCATTCACTCGGTAATGGTTTTGAGTAACTAAATATACCACGTAAATCACAACGCGGCATAGAACGCGTTACCACTTTGACCCATGAAAATTGACTCACGGGGCCCACCTAAAAAATAAACCAAACTTAAGAAAAAATTCTGATTTCATTCAGAATTTTATAACCATTTCTAACAGATTATTGGGTATTTGAAGAACCGGTCATGCTAATAAAAACTTAATGCCCGAAAATTATTTTTCGATATTGGATCATGTGGTGGCACAGGAAATATACTCTTGTTTTCCTGTAGAGCTAACGTTAGTTGAATAGTTAGGCCTGGTTTGGCATAACCTATATAATCCATTTTTTTATTTTTTTATCTTTTTTTCATTACATCACCTCCCTACTTTTCTGCACATCTTTTCATAAAAAGATAAAAAATATATTTTTTTAGGACACCCCAAACCAACCCTTAATCTGGTTAATCTTTCTTGCAGACAATAGAGTTTGGTTGAGTTGTTCTGCTAAATGAGCACTCCAACAATTGGATTAGCTTTGCACGAGAGGAATAAGGATAATATTTATATGGTTTATATTGCATACATTGATTTTTGAGTCACCTCCTTTATTTATACAATTTTGTTCATCCCTTCGTAATCATTATTATGTTATTGTTAGTGATGTCATCTACTCCTTACTTAGGAGAGACTAACTCATCTTTTTCTTGTTATTTTTGTTGGACAATCTTCACTGTATTTAAATAGATTAAATTTTGTTGTGTACAAAATAATAACAAGAATAAAAGAAATAGATAAAAGAAAAGAATTTGTAACTCGAAATAATAATAAATAAAAAAAACCACAGATTTTATTTTGTTACAAAAACAAAAATAAAATCTGATTAAATAAACAAATAAAAAAACAGAATAAAATTAAACAACTTATTTGGTTAATTTATTTGAATAACTTTTCTGATCAAGTCCAGTGTTTAACACTGTGTCAAGGCCATGTTTGATTCACAACACTAATAGTGAGGTATTAATAATCCTATTAAATTAGTGTGGTATTAGTTATCCCACCCCTACCCCATTACTAATAATCCTACAAATTTGTTGGATTAATTATCCATTGGATTAATAATCCTAAACTAAAATGTCAAAACAAACATAGGATGATTGGGCCCACGGATTACTAATCCCAATCCTATGCTTTAATCCTTCCAATCAAACATGCCAAAAGAGTATTAAATGGAAAATTATGCCAAGTCACTGTCAAGTGTTAAGAAAAAATACAAAACATTGAAATGGGAAAAAAAAGGATGCCAAGATAAACTTAAGTAAATTCTCAATAAAGATTCCATCAAGATGATAAAATTGACACTGAACATAGATTGACTACAAGATTTCACTTGGAAATTATGAACATAACGAACCTAAAGATAATTTTTCCTAATATTGTTTGAAAAATTATATTTCCATTTAAATGATAGAGAGGGGAGAGAATACATGAGATTTTTAAGAGGAATCAAAAAGAGAAGAATAAAAAGGGAAAACTAAATACTAATAACAATCACTGGGACACATCATGGATACAAGCAAGCAAGCTATTCAACAGTAGAAACGAAAACCCACAAAGCATCTACAAATAGAAGTATCGCAGAAACCCATCAGGATGATTTGGTGTTATATGAAGATTGAAATATACACAAACTCGTATATTGTGTGACTTTCAATATAAGAACTAGCATAATAACAATTAAAGTATGCAACTTTAAACCTTCAAAGCGGTAAAGCAGACCGCTCTCGCCGCCGGCTGCTGTCACTGATACGTGAACGTGAACCCTTAAATTTTTAGGGCATTTTATATGGAGTCGGTGCAACCCGAAACCCAAACCCAAACCCCCAGTTCAAAAAATTTCACTTTACACGATGCTTTTACTATTGGAAATCACCAAGGATCCTCTAGAGTATTTTTTTCCTAAAGTTTCCTAAAGTGGTGCATTGTGTGGTTGAGATTTAATGTTGAAAAATTGATGTGACTTGTCATTAAATCTCAACCACACAATGCACCACTTTAAGAAACTTTAGGAAAAAAAAACTCTAGAGGATCCTTACTCATTGGAAATATACATGCCCAATATTAAGGATTATTACTAAAAAAAAATTGAATAACACAATACTAAGAGTGGAATCATATAATATAAGAAAATATTGTATAATTTTTGGGGAAATTTATTTTTGAATAACATTTTTTTAAGTGATATCTATTATAATAATATAATATTGGCATATTAAATATTAGGGTAAATTATAAATACATTCTTGATATTTTATTAAAATACGAATCGTCCGTTGTGGTTTTAGAAATTACATTTCACCCCTTAAGGTTTGTAATTTTATAACAAATCATCATTTTTATTAATAATTATCAAGTCAATTAACAGTTTTTAATGATGTTACAAATATGTTTCAATTAATAATTTAGAAAATTTTATTATTATATAATAGAATAATTATGAATTTCATTTTTTAATTAATTCTGTTAAATAAAAAATTATGACAATGGAATATTCGTAATTTTTTAAATCATAAAGGGCAATCTGTATTTTAAAAAAAATCTCAAGTGATATATTTATAATTTATCCTAAATATTAAATAAACAACAATGATTTAGACCATTAAAAAATGCACCACTAATAACACTAATTATTGAAAATGACAAAAAACAAAAAAAAACAAACTAATAGCACTAATGAAGTGCCCGAAAATTATTTTTCGATATTGGATCATGTGGTGGCACAGGAAATATACTCTTGTTTTCCTATAGAGCTAACGTTAGTTGAATAGTTATCTGGTTAATCTTTCTTGCAGACAATAGAGTTTGGTTGAGTTGTTCTGCTAAATGAGCACTCCAACAATTGGATTAGCTTTGCACGAGAGGAATAAGGATAATATTTGTATGGTTCATATTGCATACATTGATTTTTGAGTCACCTCCTTTATTTATACAATTTTGTTTATCAATTCGTAATCATTATTATGTTATTGTTAGTGATGTCATCTACTCCTTACTTAGGAGAGACTAAACTCATCTTTTCCTTGTTATTTTGATACCCCTCTTGCTTTTTTTAAAGTGTATTTCCTTAACATCAAATCTTTTGACAAAGCATAATACAGAAGGTTAATCTTACCTGTCATCCTTCTCAATTTCTTGAAATCGTCGATAATGTCTTCTTATGCTAAATATATTTCCTTAACCTCAAATTCTTTTACAAAGCATCATACTGAAACCTAATCTTACTTATCATCCTTCTAATCTTCTTAAAATCGTCGATGATGTCTCCTTATGCCGATGCATTGTGTTTTGTTTTTTTTGACTCTCACAAATAAGTTTGGAAGTAAAATTGGTTTTGTGATTAGATGGAGTTTAAATTTATATACCAAAATGAGAACATTTATTTTTTCAAGAATTAAAGTGAGAAATTTAATTTTTAAAATTATTAGAAAATGTTTAGAATATTAACTTTTTGTCTAGTTAAAATACCAAATCACATCATTCTTTATTTTTTTATATATTTTTTAATAAAAAGTTAAAAAATTAACTAAAATAATCACATTCAAACCAACTCTGAGATTATATTTCAACGTGAATAACGAGATGAAAGTAAAAAATTTAAATAATTTAGGGAGTAAAGTAAGAGAATATTTCGTTCAGGGACCAAAGTGAGAAATAGCTCAAAGTTTCAGGGGGTTGAAAGTGAAATAAGAACGAGGGTTCACACATCAGTAGTAACAGCAGCCGCCGGGAAGAGCAATCTAACTCCAATTCGGTCCGCTGTTCCAGCAACTAAGCCTTATAAACCCTTTCAAAACTTCCCACCAAATCAATGTGGGACAAGCCAATTTACAACCTTAAGGAATTTCCACCAAAACTCCATTTTCATGGAGCACACTTTGGCTTCAATTTCCCATTCACTCGGTAATGGTTTTGAGCAACCAAATATACCACGTGAATCACAACGCGGCATAGAACGCGTTACCACTTTGACCCGAGTAAATCGACACTCGGGGCCCACCTAAAAAATAGACTGAACTTAAGAAAAAATTCTGATTTTATCCAGAATTTTATAACCATTTCAACAATTTTGATACCCCTCTTGCTTTTTTTTAAGTGTATTTCCTTAATATCAAATCCTTTGACAAAGCATAATACAGAAAGTTAATCTTACTTGTCCTTCTTCTCAACTTTTTGAAACTGTCGATAATGTCTTCTTATACTAAAATGTATTTCCTTAACCTCAAATCTTTTTACAAAGCATAATACTGAAGCCTAATCTTACTTATCATCCTTCTCATCTTCTTGAAATCGTCGATGATGTCTCTTTATGCCGATGCATTGTGTTATGTTTTTTTTTTTTTGACTCTCACAAATAAGATTGGAAGTAAAATTGGCTTTGTGATTAGATGGAGTTTAAATTTATATACCAAAATGAAAACATTTATTTTTTCAAGAATTAAAGTGAGAAATTTAATTTTTAAAATTATTAAAAAATGTTTAGGATGTTAACTTTTTGACTAATTAAAACACCAAATCACATCACTCTTTATTTTTCATATATCTTTTTGATAAAAAGTTAAAAAATTAATTAAAATAATCACATTCAAACCAACTCTCAAATTATATTTCAATCGTGAATAACGAGATGAAAGTAAAAAATTTAAAATAATTTAGCGAGTAAAGTAAGAGAAGATTTCGTTCAGGGACCAAAGTGAGAAATAGCTCAAAGTTTCAGGGGGTTGAAAGTGAAATAAAAACGAGGGTTCACACATCAGTAGTAACAGCAGCCGCCGGGAAGAGCAATCTAACTACAATTCGGTCCGCTGTTCCTGCAACGTCTTCCTACCGAGTAAGAACCGAGTCGTTTTTCTCAGAAGGTTTAAAGTTCCCCACACTTCACTTCTTATTGTTCTTCTTATCTGAAACTCACAATAATGTATACGAATTTGTGTTGAATTTTAAACCTTCGTATCATTGCAACTATTCTGAATGGGTTTTTGGAGCATTGCGTAATAGTATTTTTTTGTTTTTTTTCATCTATTCAATTCGTAGGCAGGTTTCAATTTTATGCAAAAGTGATTATATATATGTGTAAAAAAATAATTATATAATTTCGGTTTGTCTGCTCCTTTTATTTATTTCTTTGATGTTGGTATGTCTGTGTGCAAAGACTGTGCATATGATGGCTTACACTTGATCTCTGAACTCAGGTAAGTTCACCTGTTGATAATTATTCACTACTGATGCTATTGTCTTTGCACATCTTACTTCAGAAAGTTTTCAGAAATTTTGTTGTCTCTCTCACTTTCTAATGTAACATTGGTTGTCATATTAACTTCTCATTCCAAGTGTTATGTGAATGGTAAACAATGTAATGATTCAATTTCCATGGGATGTCTAAATGACTGAGATGGGCTTCTCTCCAGTCCATAATGGAGAGGTGTTGTCCAGTCCGGTCCAATGGGCCCACTTTTGGGCGCACTTTGGGTAATACAAAGTGTTCATATTTTAAGGTTGGTCGAGTACGTCATTCCTATAAAAAAATAAGTTGATCACATAACGGCAATCACGTGTTCGAATTGAACCATTCATTTTTTTTAAATGTAAAACTGATCAACACGTGGTTGCTGATATGTTAGCTTCGGCTACTTCGTTTTCCCTTCCTTTTCCCACCTCTTATTTATTTCTTTTTACCATTTTGGATTAGAAGGTATTTCAAATAGAAAAACCGATGTTTACTTTGAAATTAAATTTTAAACACAAGCTAGAAATACTGGATGACCATGGTCTGATCTCCATTTTACTTCCAAAGATAACAATAAATTTTTTATTTTTTATTTAGTAACATAACCCAGGAAATCTGTTCTGTCCATACTTTTTACTTTGGTGTGCTTTGTCTTGAACTTTTTCCACTAGATGGTGTGAGAGAAATGACTATACGTAAAGTAAGTATTGTAGATAAGTTCACTCACCTTGATGCACCATTTTGATGCATACATGTGATTAAATTGGTCCTTTTTTTAATAAAGTACTTTTTATTGAGTCTTCAAAAAGTTCATACTTTGATTAGTTGCCCCCAAATAAGATTACAAGAACCGAGATTATCTTCCCAAAGATACTATAAGTTTTCCTTTTGAGGAAGCTTTGGAACAAGTGGCAGTGATTCCTACGATACTGGTTTTGACAATCTGGAATCGTACCACATGGGTCCTTCAGACATGACTTCGCAGACCTTTTGTTGGGGAAATAACTGTTATGATTTCCAGTTGATCAAGATTGGCCTTATCTATTGAGGTCTGAGCCCTCAGGGCACAAAAATGCCGTTCTCCATGGAAAAAGTTCATTAGCTTGGTGCAGAGAGAATTAAGACAAGCTGGGCAGATGCTTCTTTTGATGGGGGTTCATCGCATCAGAAGTTTGGTTTTGTCCTACATGCTTCTCTTAGTTGTGAACAATTGTGAAAAATGACGGACTCCAACATTTAAAGCTTCTTCTTCTTCTTCTTCTTCTTCTTCTTCTTCTTCTTTTTCCCGTTTCTGTGTGTGTGATTGGGAAACTATCAAAGATGCTGGTGTTGGCCTTACCCAAAGAGCATGGAAGGTATCTTTAAACTTGCAGCACAGGATAGCTGTCATGAAAGTTGCACAAGGCTTGCGAAATTCAAAATTATGTATGGATGGTCTTTTCAGTGGCTGGAAGCAATCTGGGCATGGTCCAAGTGTGGTTGTCTACATTATTATGATTCAGAATTTCAGAGCCATTCATCTGAAGAAGAAATGTAGCAGATTAGGTGTGTAGTTCTTTAATCTTGTCAACTGTGATTTTTATGTTATTTGTATGCACAGTAGTCAAAATTTACCCTCTCTCTAGTATGTCTTTTTTAATCTCCTGAATTGATATGTCGAGTTATTTATTTGTTTTTGAAGTCATTGTAATCTACTGTCTCAGTTGATGTGAGGCTTTTTACAGCTAAATGTGCTTTCAATGGGTCTAACAAATTGATATGGGCTGGTTACCCCAAGAACAGAAAAAGTTAAGACGGCTTACCTTTTATTTTCATTATTGTTAATGCAGGAGAAACAGACCTGAAAAAGGCGGCACACAAAGTCCATGGCCTATTTTGGGTTCAATTGGAACTCTGGTAAGTTTTTGCTTTCTGTCTATCAAATGTAGAACAGTAAATTTGTTGAATGTTATGTTCAAGGTTCAGATCGTTCAAAGTGGTCCATTTACCATGAACTTACGGGAGATATATATAGGTACTAAAAGGTGTGCATGCTTGATGGGTGTATTATGAAAATCAAGTTCTTTTATTAAAAATATATATATATATATATATATAAAATAAATAAATAAAAAACAGATGAAGAGGAAAAGAAAACTGAAGAAATTATAAAATTTTGAACATAAAATAGTGAAGTGAGGCAGTTTGCGGGACAATTTTGGAATGAAAAAAGTGTGACAAAGTTCCACTGGACTGTAGGCATTATATAATAAAATAGATTCAAAAACCGTCTTTAATACTGCAACATTCAAATTAATGGGTAGAAACATTAACCCATAAATATACTGGGGAAGAGTTATCTCTTAGTCTTAGGTCTCCAGTGGATCTATGCATCTATTTTGGCTTCTCAATCTCATACTGGACTGTGTGTTCATTCCATTTTTCATTCTCCAGATAAATCTCATAAAATTTCACTTCCCCTCCAGCTCTAACTGTCAACGCAGCAGTGCTTACAGTCCCACAGCGTCCCTATATATGTACATGAGAGAGAGAGAGAGAGAGACAGAGAGAGTATGTTAAACATTTTCAAACATGTTGTGGATGTGAAACTTGGAAATAAAGTAAGGGGAAATTGCAAATCAGTGGAAAGACCAAAAAAAATTGCAAAATCATGGAAAAGCTTATCACTTCAATTATTAAAGTTGATGAGGTTTACCACTAATTTACAATTTAGTTTTGGCCTTTCAACCGAGTTGCAATTTCCCCAATAAAGTAATGATACCTACCAGTCAATGAAAATGGAGCTTAGATTTAATTCCCAATCAAGCAAAAAAATGCCAGGCAACTTACTTTCATCAGCTTTAACTGTGTCTCTCATTAGTTTTCTACCATCTCATTCATTGGAATTTCACTTTCAGCATATTCACTACGCAGTTCCCTAAAACTCTGTTCCAAACGCTGTTCCTGAAAGGGAAAAAAAGGCATTATCGCAAGTTAATTAATCATTCACATATTGACTATTTCCATGTTTCAATGTACATCTCTCTCTCTCTCTCTTTGAATTCACATTAACATGTACACATATATGTTCTTTTACAGTAGCTATTCTTAATTTGGACCATGATCTTCTGTTCTGAAAATTATCGTCTCCTGAAAGAATCTCGAGTCAGGATTTTGAGGTAGAGGATCCTATGCCTTTTATTTGTATTTGTAATTAATATTTTTCCTCATGAAATGCTTTGCAATGAGTTTCAGTTTGAATAGTAGATTTGCTGTTGACCTTATGTCCCCCTTGGCCTGTTGGAGACATAAACCAGGTCTCCGAGGAAAGATCAGCTATTATCAGGTTAAATCCATTATACTGATGTGCTTCTTCGACCACTTCCTCTGCAAATTCTCTGAGACTCTTCGTGCTCTGCAACCACACAGTATGTTGCAGTACTATTCTATTACTGAGAATCAATGAAATGAAGAAAGAGAAAGAGGAGTTTGGTAATGGTACCTCCAGGAAACGCAGCGGGAGGTCTCCTCTGCTTTTGGCATCGGGAAGGGCATGAAGCTCCATCACGTTGGTGAGGAAAGCCACTCTCACTCTTCTCAAACAAGCCAGCCATGTTCCCCCTGCAACCTCATCTCTCCCTCCTAGTATCTCACTGCCTTCCCACCACGCTGCCAGCTTTGTAGGCCTTCACAAACAACATTCAAATGAGAGAGAGAGAGAGAGAACGCAAAACTAGACTTGCCTGTTGTGGTATTCATCTCTGTTGAACAAGAGGAGAAATGGGTACAGAGGGTGAGCTTGCCAAACAAACACTGATACACACGAAGTCTGCCAAGTGTAACTCCTAACTTGCTGAGAGATTTTAGAAGTTTGGCTTTACACAAATAATGAAAAATTGAAGAACTTTTTTATTTTATTTTTTTCTGATATGAAAAAAAGAGATTTGTCTGGGAAGAATGGAGAAGATTTTTATATGAACAACAGTTACCTTTTTGACTGTTTTGTTTTGGCATTAAGATTGTGTTTAGATTAAGAATTTGAGAGGATTTGTGAAGTGAAAAGAAAAAAAGGAAGGGAAATTTTCATAAATCTCTCATTATATCCTTAATTTAAACACAATCTAAACTAATGACTGCATGATCACCATGATCAATCCCGATCAAAGATTGTGAATATAAAGAATTCTACCACAAACACATAATAATTTCGTAGTATTGTTCACAAATGAGATACAAAAAGTAGGACTCACCTTTTGTGAGACCCACAAGTGGGACTCATTTCTTGTCTCATTGTGAACAATTTTGTGAAATTGTTCCATGTTTTCTCCAATATAAATAGACACAAGCCTTTGGGACTATGATTGTATTTAGTTTAGGAATTTATGAAGTGAAAATAACAGAATTTTTATTTTTTTATTTTTATAAATCTCTGATCAAATCCTTAATTTAAACACAATTTAAATTAATGATTTGTGGAATCATGTGGTTTGAATATCACCATGTCATAATCCGTAAGAATAATAATGTTATTCTAACTCAAAAGTTCGATTCATTTTTCAAACTCAATAATGTAGTAGCATATTAGAATATTTAAAATAGCTTTCTTTCTCATATTTTCTCTAATAATTAATTAATTATCTCTTTTGTGCATCATTGAGTTTCTTTTTCAAAAAATAGATCTAGAAAGTGAGTTTTTATATCATTGTTCTCTAATCAGGTGCCTTCATACTTTATTTGGTGGATTCCATATCAGGCCCACAATGATAATTCTACCGTTCATCTAAAATGCCTAACAGTAAAGATGAGTTGTGCAAAATATCAATTTCATTGGATATCACTAGATGCATAAACAAATTTTATTATTTTAAAATGGATGACAACTATAAATTTAAACTTAAATTGTCTATTTTATATAATAAAATTTGATTTATTCTTCTATTTATCAATATTTAATAAAGTTAATTTCTTACATAAACTGTCTTTATTGCAAAATTTATAAGATAAGCAGTTTGAATTTTCATCGTTAACCCTAAGTGAGATTAACAAAATAAAGTATGGAGAAGTATGAAGAATAGTAATATAAATGAAAACCATTTCCGTCACGTGAGCATCTTCAACACATCTTTCAAATATTCAACACATCCTTCAAATCTTCAAATTTGCAAGATTGAGCAATCCAACTTATCTTCTAAAACTCTCTCTATTTAAGAGGATGACGGATGCATCTTCTAAATATAGAGGGATGATAAAAAATAGAAGAAACTCTAAAACACTATTTATTTTGTTTGTTTTTAGTTTTTAGAATTTATTTTTCAGAAAATTTTACATTTTCATTCCCCATATATTTTTATTTTCACTGAATTTTTTTAATATTTTTAGTAATTTTTTTAATTTTTAGACACACCTAACATAAATACACTTAAAAGTATAATATTTGTGAAAAAATCTTTAAAAAATTCACTAAATATCAAAAATATTTTTCGTATTTTTGTGTATTTATTAATTTTTTAAAATATTTTTTCACAAATATTTTACTATTTAAATATATCTAAATAAGGTGCATCTAAAAAAGTAAAAAATTTGTTTAAAATTTTAAAACTATTCACTACAAACAAAAAAAAAAAACACAAAAAATAAAACTCAATTTTCAAAAAACTGAATTCAGAAAACTGAAACCAAACACATTAATATATTTTATATTTTTAATTATATAATTATATTATAAATAACTTTTAATATATATTTAATTTTTAAAAAATTGGTAGCATTAAAAAGAATGAAATTATACCTTTAAAATGAGTGTACTATTAAATATATTTGACAAATATTTGAAAATTAAATATTTATTTATGAACAAAAATTATTTACTTTTTGATAAAAATATTTTTGAGGGAAATATTTAAAGAAGAAAATGATGATTTGTGGTAGGAGTTTAAGTGAATGGTAAATTGCTCTATATCCACTTTTTTAATAAAAAAAGAAGAAAATGATGATTTGTGGTAGGAGTTTAAGTGAATGGTAAATTGCTCTATATCCACTTTTTTAATAAAAATATATATTTCCATCCTCCAATTGAAAGTTTTGAATTGGGAATGCTCTGATCAATACGACCAAAGATTCACATAAATATATCTTTATTTTAAATTTAAAAAAAAATTAAAATTCATGCATGATGTAAAAAAATTCACATCTCTCTTTTATTTCTCTCAAAAAAAAAAAAAATTTGAAAAAGGTAAATGGCGTTAAAATAAGGCCAAGTTTGGGAACACTCCAAAAAGCCAAAAAGTCAAAAAAGTTACTCAAAAAGTTAAAAAATTATCATTATTCACCAAAAGTCAACAATTACGGCTGCACAACTCCCAATGCTAATTTTTGCCTACAAACTAATTTTTAAAATTTTTTATTACACATTTTTCCATAAAAAGTCAAAAAATTAACCCAAACATTCATATTTTCAACCTCAACTTTTTAGTCTAAAAAGACAAAAAGTGCACTTATTTAAGACACCCCAAACAACCCTTAAAAGCTGGAAGATTGCCAATATCTCATAGGTAAATGGCATTAATGTGAAAATAAAAGCTAGAACATTGCCAATATCTAATGTGATTTCAGCCTATTTGGACAATTAGATTAAATGTCAGTTTTTAAATTTTTTTAAATCACATCACCTCTTTATATTTTTTATACATTTTTTTAAACAAAAATTAAAAATAAAACAAAAAATTAACTTTAAGCTTACTTTTCAAAATAACTTTCAAGGATCTGATTTCTGTTTGGGTTACTAAATCAGGCTTTATTAATTCGATTGTACCAATAAATCTTTTTTTTTTTGGATAGCCGTACCAAAAAATCTCCAAAGGGCTCCTCTTTATAATCACCTATCTAACTATTAATTGATGTTCATGATTCACTTGTTAAAGAAAATGATTTATAGAAATAAAATTTTTGTATAGGGTTATAAAATCCTTCAAACATAATTTCAAAATTACTACCATCACATTATTTTAAATGAATTTAATACAAAAATTAATTTGCCAAACATTTCTTTATCAAATAATATGTCAACAATGTTTGTGGACAACCTTTTAAAAAAATAAATATAATGTGTTTTAAATTATGTTAAATGGACAAGGATAATTTTGACATTTTAAACTTTTAACCCAAATGACATTGCCTGTTAGATCAATAAATGAAAAGGCAAAAAAAAAAAAAAAATCAGTCCAACGGTGATACTATGTCATCGGTAGTATCGTTTAATAATTTCTTACCATTTACCATCATATGTATATATTAGCATAAATCCTGTACTATGCACGGTTTTAGAAAATGATTCAAAACTTAATTTTAAAATTAATTAGAAACAATTTTAAAATAAATAAATGGATAAGATTAAATAAATTTCAGTAATTATTTAAGTCTTCTATTACTATCTTGAGTAATTATTTAAGTCTTCTATTACTATCTTGTTCTATAATAAAATACATGGATCATAATTCAATTGGTAAAATTAAAAGCAAATAAATTTACATAAATTACAAAAACTGCTTTATGTGGAGAATAGTTATATTCTGTCTATAAAATTTTTATATTTATAATTATAAGTCATATCAAAATTTATTAGATGACAAAACAATACTATTCAATGTAGTTAAAAGCAAATAAATTTACATAAATTACAAAAACTGCTTTATGTTGAGCATAATTATATTCTGCCTATAAATTTTTTATATTTATAATTATAAGTCATATCAAAATTTATTAGATGACAAAACAATACTATTCAATGTATTTGGTTTCAGTTTTTTGAAAATTAATTTTTTTATTTTTTTGCTTTTAGTAAATATTTTTAAAATTTTAAGTTTTTTTTTTATTTTTTTAGGTGCGCCTTACTTAGATATATTAAAAAGTAAAATATTTTTAAAAAATTAATAAATACATAAAAATACAAAAAATATATTGAATTTTCTTTTCTTTCTTTTTTTGTATTTTTGTATTTTTGGTGTTTAGTGAATTTTTTAGAGAATTTTTTCACAAAAATTATACTTTTTAAGTGTATTTATGTTAAGTGTGTCTAAAAATTAAAAAAAAAATTGCTTAAAATATTTTAAAAAATCAATAAAAATAAAAAAAATACGAAAAACAAGAAAATAGAATTTACTGAAAAATGTTTTCAAAAAACCAAAACCAAGCAAAGTGATTTCTTTTCGTTTCGTTTTGGTATCTCTATTTCTCTTTCTTCCTTCTATTGTATATATTTTTTAATTTTTTATATTTTATTGAAAAGACTTAGGCCTCGTTTGGGAACATACTAATTTAGTAATTTTTTGACTATTTGGCTAAAATATGAGCTTAAAAAAACTAGTATATTTGTGATGACTTTTTGACTTTTTACGAAAAGATATGCAAAAAGTAGAGAGAAAAGAGAATTTTTGACTTTTTGGTATGAGTTGTTGACTTTTTGACTAATTTAGTAACTTTTTAACTAAAAAATTCAGTTGCCAAACGAGGCCTTAGTCTAACGTCCCTTACTAAATCCACAATATATTTTATTGAAAAATCAATATATTTTTTTCCCACCTACTCTCTCATTCTCACTCATCTCTCTCATTCTCTTCCCTTTAGGATTTCAAATTTCTCCACAACAATCATTTCTCTCTCCTCCTCTACCCCCGCTATCGCTGGAGCTTCTTAAACTTGTCAAGATTGCCCACATACAGTAACGCATTGGCGATCCTTCCTCATCCGTTGCTGCCGCTAGCGCTGCCAGTATGCGGTGTCATAGGACTTGTTGCCGCCGCTTGAACTTCTTATTGCATTGGAATCAGAATTGCTATTACAGTATTCTAATGAATTTTGTGCATGTTTTTTTTTTTTTTGTTAGAACACTGGATGATAATCCCAAATTGAAGAAAGATATTTGGTGTGTTTGGTTTGTGTTTGTAACGCGATTTTTGAGATAAAAAATACGAAAACTTGTCTGATTTGTCTTTTTTCAGAAATAATTTTGAAAAATTGTTTTGGAGAGAGAGTTTTAAAAAAAGTGATTGATTTAATGTGTATGAGAGAGAGTCATTTTGAAAAGTAAGTAACCAAACAAAATTTTGAGGTTTTTTTTGAAAAAATTTGTTTGGTTTGATTACTCTTAAAAATTTGTTTGTAGAGAATTTTTCTCAAAATTATTTCTAAAAAACAAACCAAACCTAGCCATTATAAAATAGAAATGTGAAAGTTGAAATTTGATATTAAATCATTATAGTTTGGGAATGTGATTTATAGTTAAAGAACAGGTGCATAGTGCCCTAGTTGGCAGTGCTTATATATGCTAAAAAATTTCTCACTTTATGAGTTTGGAAAGGCTTTATGACTATTCTACCAGTTAATCTAACTTTTATCATACTACCAATTGCTGCAGGCTGGGTACATAGGGGCGTTTTGGCAACATGCCAAAAAAGTCAGTTTTTTTATTTTTTTACTTTTTTAATCTAAAAAATTAGTTTTTTTATCCAAAATAATCTAGTTTTTTATCAAAAAAGTCACTAAAAAAATCAAAAAAACAAAAAGTTAACTTTTACTAACTTCTTAAAACACCACACAGTGACATCGTCTTTGCTCAACAAGAAAGATGATTTTTTTTTTTCAATTAGCAATTAATATTATTCGCAATGATATTATTGGTGAGAGCAATTTCTGGAAATCAGAGATAGGAAATGAATTTTTAGGAAAAGATTATGTGAATGAGGGTTGCTCTTTATATTCGGTTTGTAATTTCTCTAGATTGGTCAAAACACAAAGAAAATTGTGAGCAAATCAAATAAAATTAGTTAAAATACAGAGAAAATTGTGAGCAAAACAACAAAATTTGTGAGCAAACCAAAGAAATTTCAAAACACAGAGAAAATTTTAAGACACAAAGAAAATCAGAGAAATTGAACAAACCAAAGAAATTTTTGAAATTTCTCTGGAAAAATATTAAGGGACCCCTACCACTATGAAAATATTATATGTCATTCATCCTATAAAATCTTAATATTATGGACCTTAAAAAAAAAAAACCGAATTTTTATACCTACTTTTGATTGTTGTGGTGAATTTTAATTGTAGAAAGAACTTGTTGTGGTGATAGTAGTAAAAGTTTTCATGATTAAAGGTAAATAAGTTAAATGATTAGTTAAAAGGGTTAACGAGCATGTATTAGATTATGAGTATTAGACACTAAACATAGCCTAAAAATTGATCTTGGATTGACTTTTATACTATTATTGTCCTAAATTCAGTTATTGGAGAATTGTTATTTGATGGTGAATCCATGAGTTATTTGTTTACTTATTTATTTATTTATATTAAATTGTTATATATATATATAATCAAAATAAGAAATATTTATATAATTTTTTTTGCATATTTATTAACATTTTAAAATTTTAACAACGAAATTTATATATTTATTCTTAAAATATAACTAATGTATACTCTATTAATATTTACATTTGAAAACATTATCTAATATTAGATCAGGCATGTGCTATGCTTTTGGCCTAGAACTTGTTTAAGAGAAGTGAAGTATTAATTATTAATTTAAACCTTATATTAAAAATTTTAAGTTTTAATTTCATATATTTTTAAAATAGGATTAGGACATCTATACTTGAATTTTATAACCCTTTATAAATTATTATTAAAATTTCATTTCGATATTTCTTCTAAATTTTAAATTAGTTGTAGGGTTAAGTATAGACAAATTCTTGTTTCGAAATTCTATTTACATTTTTTTTTTCAAATTTAAGGTTAGATATGGCTAGATAGGCCAATAATATTTTGCCACAAGTGTTTCATGCTACATTTATATTTTATTTTCAAAGAAATACAAATATTTTCAAATTTTATGAGGATAAAATTAATTTATATATTATTTTTTAATTTCAAATTAGATATGACTTAGATTTTGATAAAAGATGTAGTTAAAATTTATTTTTTTGACTTTTAATTTTGAAATTTAAAATTATAAATATAGAATATAGATATGGATAGCAATGAGAATAGATACCATAAATAGTTCATAAATTAATAAATTTAAAAAAAAAATCATATTAATCAAAGATTTAATTAAAATATTAAAATAGAAGAACCAATGATAATGTGTCATGTGTATTTTCATAATATTTTAAGAAAAATGAGTGAGAGCACTAATTAGTGCCACTATTAATGATGTGGCAGTGGATCCCACCATATTCTTTTTTTTTAAAAAAAAAAAAAAAGTGGATGCCAACTCATTAGTGGTAATTTAGAGCACAATTTTTAGTGATCTCTATCATTACTGATATTTTAATTTAAAAATTTATAAAAATACAGTTAGAACTTTAAGATTCAATATAAACTAACAATATTTTTACTTATTTTAATTATATAATGACACTTAAAAAGTGAGGGTTAACCTCTACAGGTAAACTTTATTATCTATTAGTAATATCACGTCATCAGTATGACCGTTATTTTACACTGTTAAAATAAAAATTACGGGAGGTGAATGGTACATTAGAGAACAGAGGGGTTTCAGTGTAATTTCAAACTTATTCGAGGGGTTTAAGTGTAATGAGGGATACAGAAGATGCCGTCCCCCGTTCATTTAATCCGTGTGACCCTCACGTACGAACCCCACAACACAACACAATTTCATTCGAGGAAATTTTTTTTTAAATAAAATAAAAAAATAAAAAAAAATTAGCGCCTGTTTGGTTCGAGAGAAAGAGAGAGAGAAAAGGCCGAGAATGGGTAAGGTAGCAGCAGCAGAGATGATGAAGAAGAAGAAGAAGAAAGGGCGTCCCTCTCTCTCCGATCTCCGTAAACGCAATCCCAAACAACAGCAACAAACCCTAATTGATTCTTTTCCCAATTTCAACACCCCTAACAACCCTCGATCCACTCGCCGGAACCCTAATCTCAACGGAATCTCTCCGGCGTCGGACGACGGCGACGACGATGACGACGAGCGCAAGGAGAAAAAGGTCAAGCTTGTGGTCCGTTTGCCCCATTCCGATCACCATTTTCCGCATCCTAGATCGTCTTCGAATTTTGTCTCTGTGAATTCGACCTCTGATTCGAATGCCGATGGTGAGAAACCCAAGATCAATGCCGCCGGTGACAGATCTATGGACCTCGTTGCTTCTGATCAGGTGATGATGACCGTTTGATTTTTTGTATCGCTTTCTATTTCTGGAAAATTGAAAAATTCGAAATTTTCTGGTGGGTTGAAGTGTAACTGTTGTTGGGATTTCGCGCGCAATTCGAACCTTATTTATTGTTCTCTCCTATGTGGCTTCCTAGATCCGATGAAAGTGAGTGCATGTGTGTATATATATATTATTTAATAAAAAATATATATGTAAACGTTTTCTTAAAAAGATTTTGAAATATGGTTGTTTTTAGTTTCTAAATATAAATTCTTACCACTACTATTTTACTATTTGATTGTTTGTATTCAAACAATCTTTATTTATGTGTGCAGAGAATACGTATGTGTATACCCACTATAAGTCTTGAAAAAGTTTTGTCTTTTCTTTAATTATTCTCAGTTATTTTCACATTGTACTTCTTCCTCTTCTGTCGCTGTTTAATTAACTACTTCATATGTCCTTTTTACCGTAACTTTCGTTTGATGAATCTTTAATGACTGTTTGGTATTTTCAAATTTATGTTTTTCTTTTCTTTCTAACCCAACAACTGGTATTGGATTAATTTTGTGCAGCAGATCGAAATGGTTGAGAAAGCGACGGACACTATACATGGTACATGGTTCCAATCAAATTCTCCAATCTTGAACAAAAGACATTTTTTGGGGGGAATTCCCAGTAATTATTTTTTATTTTATTTTAATCTATTGATTGTCTTTTATTTGTTGATAGGGTCGCCTATGGAGTCTGGCCCCACAACACCTTTGCCACAGAAAAAGTTGTTGCTGTTCATTCTTGATAGGCTTCAAAAGTGTGTGTTTTCTTTTTCTATACTAGCTAGCTCCTTAGATTTTCTTTCTTTCTTTTTTTACTTCTTGTTGTACTGTTCCATTTTGGGTCTGATTGTAACCTTATGGGTTCTTTAAACTCAACTGCAGGAAAGATATTTATAGAGTCTTCTCAGAGCCTGCTGATCCCAATGAGGTGCTTCTTTTGGAAATGTTGCAATGATGATGATGATTCTTCATTCCCCTGTTTTCATAAATTGGTACTGAAACAGTTTTTATGCAGCTTCCTGATTACCATGAAATTATACAACGCCCTATGGATTTTGGAACTGTGAGGAGGAAACTAGACGAGGGGTGTTATTCCAACTTGGACAAATTTGAGGTTGGTTATGGACTCTCTTTTGTTGATTTGCTTGATATTTGTAGATTTGTTTGTCATGCGTTCTGTTTCTATTGAAGGTCACACATATTAGAGGAGGAGGAGGTTGAAGATAATTATACTTCCTCATGTTGGATCTTGGTTGCAATATGAGGTTCTTGTATGCTCTTGGGTCTTAGTGGGAACCCGTTGACAGTTGTATGACTGGAATGGATGATAAGTGGGTTTTCAAAACAGAATTTTGATGTGGACATTCCCTTTGAATTCATGCATACATAACTCATTTTTCCCTATATTTATTTATATTCTTGATTGTGATCATAGGTCTGCCATCTATCATTTCACTCCTAAATATTCTAAGTATTGCCATCTACTTTTGTGTTACCTTGAAGTTCTTGCTCAAGCAGACACGGGACATGTGCCCTGAATTTCTTAGGTCTAGTTTTGTAGATTACAATTTTTGACTGGCGCCCTGTGAAGTCTAAAAGGTAAGTTCTATAGAACGACTATTAGACCAGCTATGCTATATGAGACGGAGTGTTAGGCAATCAAAAAATAATATGTAGATAAAATGAGTGTTGCTGAGATGATGATGTTAAGGTAAATGTGGGGCAAGACTAGACAAGACAGAATTAGGAATAAGTGTATTTGAGAATGGGTAAGAGTAGTACCGATAGAAGATAAGTTGAGAAAGAATCGATTGAAATGGTTTGGTCATATTCAACAGTAGATGGAAGTGTTAGCAGACCAGGTAGGTTTAAATTAACGTTGGCTGGCGTTGTAAATAGAGATATGGATCTATTTAATTTGACTAGCGAAATGGCCTTTGATAGAGCCGCATGGAGAAGAAGGATTCATGTAGCCGACCCTATGGGACTTAAAACTTGGTTTGGTTTACCTTGTGACGAGTCTGGTTTAATTAAATAGGCTTTGTTAGTATGTTTGTATAGTTTGAATTTTTTGTCATTATATTTGAAAAAAATAAAGAAAACTTTTAAAGGATATGATTATGCCGGGATAGACAGGGCAGGCAGCCTTGACGTGATCTGTGCTTAGTGCATGATGGCATACTTGTACAAGGAAGGGACTTGTGATTTTTATCTTGTTATCCATTTGAAATATTTTCTTGTGATTTTGTATTGCTATATTTCATGATAAAATAATGTTCTAGAACTTATGACATCTGATGCTGTTGTTTCTTCCATGAACTTATATTATGGGCTTTTCTCTTAAAGCAACATCTTCAGGATATATTCCCCTGTGGAATGGAACTTGGTTTTGTTGGCTTTTGGTTTGACTGCTGCCAAAGTATTGGATGTTGGTTTTTTAGGATTCTGAACAACTATTTAATTCTGCAGGCAGACGTATTTTTGATATGTTCAAATGCAATGGAGTACAATGCTCCAGACACCATTTATTTTCGACAGGTATGGTCATGTTTGGACTCACTCCAAGGTTTGCAAATCCAGTTCACTTGTGTTCTACTTTTTAATGTGGAGGCTTTTCCATAGGCGCGGTCCATACAAGAGCTGGCAAAAAGGGACTTTGAAAATTTGAGACAAGTCAATGATGATGGTGAACCACAACCGAAAGTTGTGAGGAGAGGCAGGCCACCTGGCAAGAACTTAAAATCCTCTCTTGGAAGTCCTCCATTTGAGCGTGTTGGTCTTGAGTCTTCCTCTGATGCAACACTTGCTACTGGGGGAGAGAATGCAATTGGGTCTAACTCTTACAATCTTAGAAGAGTACCACCTGTGCCATTCAGGTTTCGGTCCAATGATTCATTTTTCAGGGCCTCTCACCAATCTCGCAATAATGATACTTACGTTGACTCATTATCTGAATGGAATAGTGAATTTCCAGGTTTAGGACTTTTATCTTGTGTCTTTCGATGGCACCACATTTTTAATTTTGTTCTCTGGCTTCTCTGTATGTAGTATAAAGCCCTATTTGGATCCGTTTTGCAGCTTCTGTTTTGAAGGCTGAGGCAAAATATGGGAAGAAACAATTTTCATTGGATGAGAACAGGCGTGGCACCTACCAACAATTCCATCCTTCAGCTTTTGGCGACGAGCCATCTGTATTAACTATTTTCAATGGAGACATGAAGCAGTTAATGGGGGTATGTATTGTGAGATTGTTATTATATTTGGATTTTAGTTGGTTTGTAGTCGCAACTTCTTATGTTAGAACATATTGTTATGACTATCAAGTGCTACCGGCGTTCAAATATCTCCTAGTAATTGGTACTATTATTATCAATAGAACTTAGAAGATGGGTTGAAGACCACTTGGTCCTCCTAAAAAGATATTTGGCATGGTAATTATTTTAATCGAATGGTCTGGTACAACAGAATACTAGTCCGGTTTATGCCATATGTCAGATCAACAATTGTCCCAGAAGTTTAAGCTATTAGGAAATTACCCCAGTAACATATATCAAGCTATTTAGCACCCTGCTTCACATGAAGTAAGGTTACATTGTTGGGTGCATTTTCTAATAGCTTAAGCTTTAGGGCCAATGGTACCTTACACCATATGCTGTGCTAATTGCTGTTTGTTGGATGTATCGTTAACTTTTATGAGCTCTGGAGAATATCTTGTAACCTAAGTGCACTAATCCTTTTTAACCCAATTCAGGTGGGTCTACATTCGGAGCATGGTTATGCAAGAAGCTTAGCTCGATTCGCTGCAAATCTGGGGCCAGACGTTTGGAAATTCACTTCGAAGAAAATTCAGCGTGTTTTGCCTACTGGGGTAAAGTTTGGTCCTGGATGGGTAGGAGAAAATGAGGCATCAGCACAGCCACTATCTGCATTACCTGAGCAGAATTCGTCAAACAATGCGGTCCATGATGGCCATCCACTTTCAGCTATCTCTGGCACAAATTCTGTTGTCACATACAGGTCTTCTTTGTCTTCTAAAGGAGAAATGGTTGAAGCTGTTAGTGGACAAAATTCTAATAGCAATTTAGCAGTTTTGAAGAGTGGTTCTGATCGGAATGGTTTCAATAGTGGGTCAGGACATGATCTTTCACCTCAAACAGGGACGATACCAGTAAGGCTATCCATGCCAACTGGACAATCTGGGTTGGAAGAGGCTTTGGTGCAATCTCAAATGCTTGGTGTGGTTTCCAGAAGCAATACATCATCGACTCCAATGGCAGCAAACCATATAATTTCAGAACCGAAGTTGCCAGGAAGTTCAAGAAGTACACATAATGAAAATGTTTCATCGCAACATAGACAGTATTCTCTTCAGGTTCAACCCGACCTGAATGTCAGATTTCAGACACCAGGATCGCCGAGTTCTTCTAGTTTTCGTATTGGGTCACCTCAGCAGCCAGATTTAGCATTGCAGCTGTGACTTGAGATTGGTCATGTGTCTTGTTTGACTTGGGGAGGTTAGAATTCTTTACTCTCCTCATGTTTCTTCTTCAAGTCATCATAGGATAGTGTAGTGAGAGAAGAGGTCATGTACAGATTGATGTACCAATTTATTAGGTTAAATCCACAAAATCTTGATTTGTGAGATGTGAATTGGTTTTAGTGAGATACTTCAAATTAGTTCTCAATAAAAGAGGAAAAGCAGGAAAAGTGTTATGTCAGTAATGTGCATGTACTGCATACTGTACCGTTAAGTATAATTTAATTAATTTTTTTTTTTTAATGTTTTAAAAATCCTACTTCCTTGGTTTGAATTTAACCCTTCAAAAGTTGGGAGAATTTTGGCTTTTGAGACAAATAAATGCAAAATGGTGAGGAATAAACAAATAAGGGTGTTGCTACTAGCCATTTGTTTGTTTTTTTAGACACTCACCCTTCAAAAGTGAAAGTGGTAGTTTTTTTTTTCCCTTTCTTTTTTTTGCCTTTCCTCTGCAAATTCTTACTCAAAATCATTTATTTTTTAAGCTTAATTTCGTTCTTTATTGGAAAAAAAGGAAACAATTGAATTCTACAGGGATGGCTATGACTTTGTCAAACTGTTAGGTGTATGAATTAAGACTATCATTGATATTGTAGAATAATAAAGGATATATTGGCATATTCAAAAGGGGTCAACTGCTCAAAGTCATGCATTTCTCATATATTAAGCATTAACCTAGAATGCTAAAAACCAGATTCCCCCACAATTTACAAAAATAATAAATCATTAAGAACAAAAATGTAGGATCATCTTAGCCTTCGTTTGGCTAACTTAGGATGTTTTAGAAAGATAGTTAAAATTTGATTTTTGACTTTTAATCAAGTTTTTTGGTTTTTTTGAAAAATGATTTGAGAAGTTGGTAAAAAATTATTTTTTTGCTTTTTGAGCTAATATTTATTTATGATGTCACATCACAATAAAATGACTAAAATATTCCATTCAACTTAGGGGTCGTTTGGTTTTTGAGTTAGGCTAAAAAATCACAAAAGGATCCCAAAAAAAAAAGTCAAAAAATCACAAAACGGCAAAAATTACAAAAAGACAAAAAAAATTTGCTATTCCAAAGTCAAAAGGCCAAAAAAAACCAAATAAGAATACCAAATGACTAAAAAGGTTTTAGGCTAAAAAAATCAAAAAGTCAACTAAAAAAGTCATTGCCAAACGAACAGTTAAGAAATTTACATTTTGCCCTTACTCTTAAGATGTAAACATGGAGGGTAGTTATGTAATTTCACAATATGTTTTTCGGTCACTTCCCAAATGACCAAAAACGCAGCTTTGGCGTTTTGTGAGGCTGCGAAACGCAGCTTTTTGTTGGGGTTCCCAAAAGAGCACTAGTTGGGCTAAAAAAATACAAAAGACAAAATAGGCCAAATAAGTTTATAAGATAAAATGTCACATCTAAACCATAATCATTTTACTTTTTCTCTTATAAAAGTCAAAAAAGTCAAACCAAACAAACTTTTTAGTTTCAAGCTAAAAAAGTCTTAACTCAAAAAAGCCAACTAAAAAAGCTAATGTCAAACAGCGACTTAACTGCCCACTTGTTTGGGGGAAATTATTTAATATTTCCGAAGTACCATGTATTCGTACTCCTTAACCAATCATCATTTAATATGTCATATCATGTTCTTCAATTACAACACAATATCTTACATATCTATCTTATCCACCAATCACAATTCTATAAAATATCACGTATCTATATTCCCAAATTACTAAATAATTACCTTTTGTTTGGAGTGGCCAATCCACAACCAAACTCATCTAATATATGATAAAAGATTGAATCTAATTCATTATGAAATAGTTAAATGGTTACGTATCGAATATTAGATTTGAGTAATGTTATATAAATTAATAAATATCACAAATTTTTTTTACCGATTGTTATAACACTCATTATATTTTTGAATGTGTCTAGTTTCATATTTTAAAATTTCTTTATTCTATGAAAATTTATTAGTTTTCATTAGATTTTGTGTAGATTAATTTAAAATGAAAGGATCATCCTATGCTATAATATTTTATACAAAAATCTTATTTATATAACGATAATTTATTGAATATCATCATCATCATCATTAAACTATTTTCTTCATATAGGAGATAGCTACATGGCATGCTTTGATTGGTTTAACAAACAAGATAAAAAGCAGGTTCTCTCCCCTTAACTTCGACGCCATTCTTTTAGTAGTATTAAAAGAAAAATGCTCGGAAAAGTTTTTCCTATTCACAAGCAAACTTTCTTGGCATACGCTTGCCAAAAGGTTTGGGTTAGAATAATCATAAAAAAAAAAAAAATTAAAAAATTAAAAAATTAATAAAATAAAAAGATTATATTTAAATCATAATTATTTTATTATTGCTTTCATAAAAGTTATAAAAGCTAAAAGACTCTTCTCAAACGAAACTTGTTAACCCTAGGTTAAAATAATTAAAAAGTTAAAAGTCAACCCATCTATTCCATTTTTTTTACCATTGTTTGTCTCGTTTTCTTTTAATTATTAATTTTAATAATATAATAATATATACTGGATTATGAAATAAAAGATGAGATAGAGAATTGAACAAATAATCTCTGTGCTATTCTTTGTTTGAGAAAGAAAAAGAAAGTTAATTACATTTTTTGAATTCACAATTTAAATTGAAAAAATCGGATTTCAGTTAAAGTGTAGAGTTACTAAAGAAATTGATGTATTGTATATATTTATCCTGTGTGAATCACTTGTCAATTTCCATCAATTTCATTAACCTTAAATGGACAAAAAAGTAAAATTGACTTAAAATGTTAAGAATAAAGTTTCGGACCCCCAGTGGGGGTGCTGGGGTCCCTTCCCATTAGTCCAAAAAAATTGTTTTTTTTTTTTTTTTCAACCAATGACAGGCCAACACGTGACACTGGCGGGGAGAGGGGGTCACTGGGGTCTGTAGCATTGCTAAAATGTTAAATGTAAAAGTTGACTCATAATTGAAAGTTGAGGCATCAATAATATGAAATTTTAATAAAAGTATAATTTCATGATACTAATAAGTGTATTAATTTTTTTTATGCTATACTCACCTATTTTTTGGTCTGTCCTTGCCTAAAAATAAAAAAAAAGATTTTGTTCTTGCATTTTACAATTAGTTCAAAGTAATGAATCTTACATTCAAAAAGTATATTAATCTCATAAAAAAAATTATAAATCTCAACATTTATATCCATAAAAAAATTGTGTACTAATTATTCACTCTTGGGGATCTGGAGGGGTAGAAGAGAGTAGCGAGATTCCGGCGGTGGTGGTGGTGGTGAGAGTGGTGTGAGATGGGTGAGTTTAGGAGTGGGAATGGGGTGAGGGACCTTAGACTACAAAAGAACAGATTGTGGACCTAATCTATTACTAATAGTTGGATAGGGACCTTAGACCGATTTTCCCTAAAAAAATTGTGTACTAATTATTCACTCACTCAAAATCGAACTTCCAAAAAGAGAACGTACTAAAGAATTGAAAAATGATATGTAAATAGAGAATAATCTTTATAAAAATCCATCAAGATACTAATTTTATTTAAAATTCCCATTTATATGGGAATTGTTTTAATTTGAAATGAAAAGATAACAAAAATAAATAAATCAATTTCTATCTAAAAAAAAAAAATCTTTACACAAAATTCTATTTGATAAACTACTAATAAATCCTAATAGTTAGATTTAATTTCTATCAAGTCCTATTGAAAATAAGTCTTAGTAAAATTGTCACTAAAATTAATTTTTTTGTGACATTTTTTTATGTCTTTAAAAATTAACAATTAGTGATTTTTTTTTTTGTCATGATTTTTATAAATTATTACTAAAATTTATAATTAGTGACTTTTTTTATGATAATTTTTTTTTATAAAATCTATTAGACAATAAATTTACTTATTAAGACCTAGACGAAGTATAGCCCAATTCTGTTTACCTTACCTTCATCCAATCTAATTCCTAATCGCCTCCAAACCAATGCATGCAACAGTGTTAATGCAAACACCTATTTGTTTTGTCTACGTCAAAACTACAAACTCAATTCCTGGCTAAAGACTACTTCATTCATCTTTGCCAACATCAGCCGGCGGTGATTCGAACCCGAACCACCGCCTCGTTAAATCCTTCAACCGCTCATCGTACTCCTCGCAAAACTTCTCCAGCCACCCTTCGGGCTCCACCGGCACAAACCCTAATCCCGGCGTCCTATCCTTAGACTCTGGATTCATCTCTTGCATCCAATCCACCACGTATGCCGACACTCTTCGCCGAAACTTTGTCTTGAACTCCGACCACGCCTGAAACTTGTAGTGATTCACCACCGCATCTTCAACACTCATCTTCATCTCCCTGTACCCTTGCTTCAATTTGAAATGGTGAATCACGTTTAGCAAGGACTCGTCGACAGCGTCTAACAACACAATCGATTTGTGCCTGTTGTCTGATCGCCTTCGACAGTTGTACCCTTGCGTTACCCCCATTAATGGGTGCGAGCTCTGATTCGACGGCCCAAACTCGTAACAACTAATCATGACTTGCCCGATTTTCGATGATGGTGATTGTGGCAAGAGAGATTTCAACATTTGGTGTGATGGGTTTGGTGAATTCAGCCATGAAGGAGAGTAAACGAATTCGTCGACATCGATATACATCATCCATGAGCACGAGGTGTTTGCGTAAATGGCAGAGTGAGAAAACCCAGCTTCCTGAGTCTTGGGCCATAGCCAAAACAAAATGGTTACATTATAGCCTTCTTGGACTAGCTCTTGGACGACTCTCTGCAAATCATCGTCACTCTCGTTGTCGTATAATATGAATCTATCAACCCCAATCGAAGAATGGTACACAACCCACTCTTTCAAGAACTTGGCAACGTTGTAAACCATGGTGCACGCGCACAGTAGCGACTTCGGCTGCTCAACTACTACCTTGCGCGCAGGAGTGTAGTATGCCAAAGAAGGGACCACACGTTTCTGTTCCGACATTTCGAGGGAGATTCGGATTCGCCCTCCTCCAGAATTGGAAAACGCCGACGTTTCCGGGATTCGACATCGAAACACCTCTTGGTATGAAGTCGTAACGGTTGTTTTGACGCCGTTAACTCCGTCATCGTCGCCGAACACGCACCGAAACTCGTTCGCTAGTCGGTAACCGCCCTGGCGATGGTTGAGGCCTTTCACGAACAAGGCGACGTCGTTTTCTGTGGAGACAGAGTCGTAGACGAGGAAATTCCACCGGAGTAGCTCCGGCGACTGAGGCAGAGTACTCCTCTCCGGCGATCTCGTCAGTATAGGTTGGGGGAAAGGCAATCGGCGGTGGAGTATGGTAGGAAAATCACATTTAAATGTGGTTCGATAAGGGGCAGGTAGAAAGCCGGCGGGCTTCGCCGGCGAAGAAACGTTGTTGGGGAAGAGGCAGGTGAAGGGGCCGGCGATGAAGTCCGGCGGAATCGGAGTAGCCGGAGATACAACGACGAGGACTTCCCAGGCAGGAAGAAGAATCGAGACGGAGGGGATGGAGTCGGGGACGATTTGTTGTTGGTGGTGGTGATGTTCTTGGATGGCGTAATTGGGGTGGATGTGGGGGTGGAGAGGGAGATTTTCGGAGGAGATAATGGGTTGGGGATGGAAAAGGTGGTGGTGGTGATAGAGAGAAGTCAAGAAGACGATCGAGGCCAGGGAGGCGACAAAGATCGTGCGAATATTGCAGGCCATTGAAACGGAGAGAGAGAGGGATGGAGTTTGTGAAGTTGAAAACAGATAAAAGTCAGCCGCCTTTTTATAAGTTTTGAGACTCGGTTTGAATTTTTATTATTGTTTCAAAAGAATTAATTTTTTTTTTTTTTTTTTTTTTTTTTTTTTTGTTTTTTATTTTTTTGGGTTGTTGTGGCTCTTGGACACAAAGTGTGTTTTGTGTATTATTCTATGGTTTGTTTCGAAAGAAGAAAACTAGTTTTTAATTTTTTTTTAGGAAATATATAAAAATAAAAATAAAGAGGTGATATAATCTAAATAAGTTAATAAATTAATAAATTAATTTTTTTCTTATATTTATATTTATATTTATGTGGCCCTTTTTATTTGGCCTTTGAGATTAATATTGGATTCGTTTAGAATGTGAGTTGTCTTTTTGATTTTTTTAGTTATTTTAACTTGGGGTTAAAAAGTTTAGTTTGTGATGATATAAAATTGAGACATGGTTAGAGGGGCGGCCAGTTACTCGTTCTTGTTCTCTTTCTTTTGGTATGATTTTATTTATTTTTTATGTTTTTTGAACTCAAAAGCCTTTTAGGGTTGGGGTATGATTTTATTTATTTTTTATGTTTTTTGAACTCAAAAGCCTTTTAGGGTTGGTTTGGCTCAATGAGTCATAAAAGACAGAATAGGCTCATGAGTCACAACAGACAAAACATCCTATCCAATTTTATAGTCATTACACTCTTCTTTTACAAAAAAATTAAAAAAGTCAAAAAGCCAAAAGTCCTTCCCAAACTAAGCTTTTGAGCCCAGGCTCATATAGTCAAAAAATTAAAAAGCCAACCCACTTCCCAAACGGAGGCTAGTGTTTGCTAGAGTATTCACAAGGAATATTTTAAAAGAGATTTGTTATTTATTATAATTAGTATTATTAAATTTTAGTCACTTTAATAGATTAGTTATTACTATAATTATTTTAATAAAAAAATTGAAGGCTAGTTATATTTAAAGAGTCTTGAGAGATTTTTTCATATTTATGTGTATAGATAGGTAAAATAAAGAGTAATATTAAAGTACATGAATAAAAAAAATACACAACATAAAGAATAACTTTTTTTATATATTAGCTAGTAAAAAATGAAAAGTATAGTTGGAGATGCTCTTAAGAGCATATTATTGTAACACAAAATTATTTTTAGAGATATAAATTTGTATAAATTTCAAAATGATATATAAGTACTATATATAAATCATAATAATAGATGTTTTAATTTACAATTCTTGTACTTGTGTATGATCAAATACAATCTTCTCACAAAGGTGTGAGATCTATCTTATGTAAAAATGTTTCGTCTTATTATTCTATAACCGATTTTTTGTATTTTTAATCAAGTTGGGATGTTATGGGAATTTGTTTAAAATTATCAATTAATTTTCTGAAAATTGCTTTTCAGTGCAAGTTTTTAAATTTTTTTACATAGGTGAAAAAGTTTATCAATAATTAAAATTATAAATTTTTTCATAAATTTGTAAATATTTTGTAAAAATATCATTTATTTACATTATTTCCAATAATTTTCCCATCTCATGACAGTTTGGAGCTGAAAACGAAAAGCCATAATAATGGTGGTGTTTGTGTCTTTTTTGGATGTAGATTAGATTTTTTTTTTTAATTTGATGTAGATTAGGTTTATTTTATTTATTTTTTATTTTTTTTGATTTGATGTAGATTAGATTTATATTGATTGATGAATTAATGGACTCATTATCGGAGAAGTTATTGGTTCCTTGTGGGGCACCTTCACATGGTCTTCTAATAGTATTGTTATTGATAAAGAAAATAAAATTTACAAATTTATATTTGATGATTAAAAAATATAAAAATTTATAATTAATTATAATTAATATATAGTATAATCATATGATGCCTCAGGGCCAATTAATAATTTTTCATGGATGATTCTCATGATAAATGTGCTGGCTTCTTCGCTTTGGTTCCTATTCCATTCCTCAAACACTCCCCACCACGTGGTGAATATCAACTCACGCAAGTATTCTCTTTTTATTTAGGAAATTATATTTATAAATCCCAGAGAAAAGGTAATTTGGTTAGTTCTAAGAATTTTTTTTTTATAGATCAATTAATTTCTTTGATTTTGAAAAAATAAATTTAATATATTTATACGGGAGAGAAAAATCCGTTTCGCTTTGTACCTCTTTACTACTAAGCTCGTCTCGCTCCGTTAGGACTCTGTCACACTGTGAACAAAACAAGGGTGAGCTATCCGGCCAGTGGGTTTGTCAAAAACTCCTCTGACGATCAAGTTAACTTTCTAGGAGAAGAGAGAAGGCAGAGCACTCTAGAGAGAGAGAGAAAGAATTCAAGATTGCTTCAGGTTGCTTACCTCTAACGTGTGTCTGTTCCTCCTTTTCAAGGCTGGCTACGCGACCACAGAGATTGTGGGCGCACTACCCCTGTTGTCCTTCCTAGACAGGTGGCTGTGCTCTCCTCTACCTTTCTTACACGTGTAGAGACCGAAATCGCCAAACGGTATTGACGCATGCCAGGACTGGATTTCCCCTCTTCTTGTCATTGGTCTACGTGGAATAATGAACCGAGCTATTACTTGGCAAAATATAAACATGACGTTGGACTGTTTAATGTCAAATCGGACCAAACCGACCTATCAGCGCTGACCAAGTCAAGCATGATGTTCGGCATCTCGGCTGCACACTGCGGTCTCGTGGACTGTCTGTCTTCACAACTCCAATCCGAACCGTCCACAGCTCGGCTCGATCTGGCCCAACACCATAATCTGCGTGGGTCAAACTCGATCCGACATCGTGTTCTGTGAAATCTTAGCTCGACGCAATATATCCTAGACAATCCTAATCCGGTGGTGCACTATATTTAGTGTGGATCCAATTCGGCCTCACAACAGGCTCCAAGTTCTCCTTTCACAGCCCAACACCATATTTCATGTTGGTGTAGCTCGGCCCACTGTTCATCTCAAATTTCCCTCTCAATATTATTTGAAAATTAGATTTATATTGTGTTTAATTGAGAGATTTAGAAATGAATTTAGAAATGAAAAGAAAAAAAAAGTATGTGAAACTATGTGAAACATATGTATATTTTATTTACATTTCACATAGCTTTTTCATTTCTCTTTCTAAATTCATTTTCAAATCCCTCAACCAAACACAGTATTAATATGCCTTTATTTCTGTGTGGGTGATTTTCTTACCACACTGCCCGCCTAGTAATCAGCTGACAGCACTGGCAGAATAGATGGTTTCAGCAAACCTGTAACAGAAAGAAAAGGCTCCGGCGATGGCTCTTTCACCCGGGGGCACTCCGACGATCAAGTCAGTATATCTTTCAAAGATAATCAAGTGTTAAACTCACTATTCAAAGCATAAAACTGCGTACCTTAGACCCACGGGGGTGCCTCTCTTTTATAGTTTACTCAATCCTAGTCCCACTAGAAGCCTGACTTCTATGGATTCTCATTCAGTGCTTACTTTGGATTTCTCAAGAGATAAAGATAAACTCCCTAAGAGTTTTATCCTTATCTTAGCAAAGTCTTCTCTTTACTCTAGGACTCTTGCCCCTTATCCATTATCCGCTTATCTAGGATTCCGATATTTTCGGAAATAACCTCGGCCTTACTGGGATCACCTCGGCGTCACGACCAGGACACGTGGCACCTCGGCTGACACGTCGGCGTCACCTTGCCACGTGTTGGTACTCAGAAAATATATCCCCACAACCTGCCCCTAGGTTCTATTACCTTCGGCATTACTGAGTGATGGAACATTATCTGTATTTTCTTGCAGTAAATCGGCTTAAGAATTTGACAGCCGAGATTCATGTCATTTTCTGCCGAACATGCTTTCCCTAAAAAATCAAAGATTTTTAAGGAACCTTTTACGCGCATGAGCTGTCATGCACTTCAATTCAACCGTTTTAGACACGCGTTTCTTTCTTACTGGCTCATGCTTGTGACGCGCCCATAAATCATCTCTTCTTCACATGCGCCGTCTGACGTATGCGCTCTTTTAGGCGTATTGATTACTTTTGCCGCCATTTTCATTTTTTTTTTTGACAAAATCTTTCCCCCTTTCTTTCGTCTCTTCACTTTTGCATCTGAGTTCTCTTGCTTTTTTCTCTCTCTAAAACTCTTTCTTTCAAATCCGCCATTGCTCAAGCTTCCAAAGCTCTGCATCCTTCTCCGTTCAGCCCTTCCGGCGAGATTTCCACCGGTCTTCTGCTCTTGTAACCGTCGTAGGACGTCGGCAAATCCCTTTCCGGCCTCCCTTTTTCTGGTAAACATCTGTTTCTTTCTATTCCAGTTCTTGATCTTTCCTGGAATTTCTTGTTTACTACTGCTTTACTTAAGTAATCAATTTGTAGATCATACATCTGAATGCGTTGATTTTGATTTTTGCTTATGCCCTGAATACATGTACTGTTCTTAGTGTTTCTTGCACGTCTTGCTACTGTTTCCTGGCCTTCAACTCTTTGTATTCTTTATGTTCTTGTTAGTCCATCTCTGCTCTTGACTCTGAAACTTCGTATTTGTTTTCTATTTTTTTGTATCTTTTCCAGATCTGTACCTTTGATCTTCATCTTCATAGCTTTAGGTTTGGGATTTGTTTGTAGAACCTATAACTTAGGAAAAAACTAAAACCTGCACCTACTTTCACTGTTTGCCGAGGTCCCATCAATAAGAAACATCTTGCTGAATTTCAACCCTTCTAATAGAAGCCGATATCATGGGTATGTGGAGACATAGGGTAGATAACCTGACCAAACTTGAGTACTTTAGGCAAGAGTTCTCCATCCCTGCCGATGTCCACCTGAGACTGGCTGAGGATAACGACTCCATCATGCCTACAGAAAACGCCATGCCCCTTCCCATTGTAGCTTTTACTGAGTGCGGACTCCGGCTCCCACTCAACATCCTTTTTCGCGAGATTCTTCATTATTATAAGTTGAACCCCATGTAACTGGCAATCAACTCTTATCGAGTGATTTTTGGTATTATCGCCTTAGCTAAACAGGAAAACGTTAGGATCACCTTAGCCGACATACAGTATTGTTACACCATGTGTGCCATTAACTTGA